CAACAGTTGGGCAACGTTACTAGATTTTCCGCTGAATGATGCTCCGCTTATGGCTCTTGCACATGGATACAAAGGTAAAAATCAATCACATTCGATTACTACTTAGCCGCTCAGTGAGCGTTTGTAATACAATGCATCCATTTACAATTTCAAGGTGGTGACAAAATGTTGCACATTATTCTATTTGGCAAACCTGACAATATACGAAACATTTGCTACTTTCAATCTGTGCAGTTGGGTCTCCTTACTCTTACTTCATGGAATAGAATCATCTAAAAATGGTATTAGTAAATATTTTTTAATTAACTATATTTATTATTGACATTCACCACATTTATTTATTCGCAATGCTTCCATACTTTGTATGCCAATGTTAAATTAAAATCTGTTGTAGTTTACTTCATGATAAGTATTACAACAATAAGTAGACAAATTATTAGTTTCAAGTTCTTTCTTCTTCTTCTTCTTTTTCTTTGAAGACTTTTCAGAAGAATCATAAGTGCTAGTAATTTCCATAGGATTATTCAATTTTAAGCAAGGATTGTCAAAAACATTGCTCTTGTCGCTGGAATCTTTAGATATTTCATAATTGAATGAAAAACCACTACAATTACTATCAATAGTTTCAGTTTTCAATTTCTTTCTGGTATCGTGTTTATTTATTTCATCAGTATACGAATTATCAGTTTCAAGTTCCTTCTTCCTCTTCTTTGAAGACTTTTTAGAAGAACCATCAGTGCTAGTAGTTTCCACAGAATTATTCAATTTTAAGCAAGGATTATCAAAACCACTGTTCTCCTCGCTGGAATCTTTTGATTTTTCATAATTGGATGAAAACCCACAATTACTATCAATAGTTTCAGCTTTCAATTTCTTTCTGGTATCGTGTTTATTTATTTCATCAATATTCGAATTATCAGTTTCAAGTTCCTTCTTCCTCTTCTTTGAAGACTTTTTAGAAGAACCATCAGTATTAGTAGTTTCCACAGAATTATTCAATTTTAAGCAAGGATTATCAAAACTACTGTTCTTCTCGCTGGAATCCTTTGATATTCCATGATTGGATGAAAAATCACTACAATTATCAATAGTTTCAGTTTCCAATTTCTCTCTGGTATCGTGTTTATTTATTTCATCAGTATACAAATTATCAGTTTCAAGCTTCTTCTTCTTCTTCTTCAAAGATTTTTTAGAAGAACTATCAGTGTTGATAGTTTCCATAGTACTATTCAATCTTAAGCAAGGATTATCAAAAGCATAATTGCTCTTCTCGCTAGAATCTTTTGATATTTCATAATTGGATGATAATGTGTTCTCTGTATTTGATACAAATCCAAAACCAACGTGCTGCTCATTCTCACTTTTGGAGTCAATTGCTTGATTATCGGTTACATTGCTTGATAAGTTGTTTGATTTACCCTTGAAGTGATTAGTCACATTTTTATAGTTTGACTTGAGTTTAAAATATTCAGCCATATTGCCACCATTAATTGTGACAACTCCATGCCAATTATCTCTGGTTTCAGTAACTTCTTCCTCATGATTATTCTTCTCTTCTTCTATCTTGGTTTGAATTTTGCTAGATAATTCTTCTCTACCAAATATATTTGCCAAATCTTTCAACTTATATTTATTTATATCCTTAGACCGTGTAAATTTGTGATAACTACAAATGAGTTAATATCTTCATAAGTATATAATAAGAAATATATCTGATACTTATTGGTATATCATTCTTATATACAAACATAAAATATTGCCAATATTGCCAAATATTATGCCAATGGCAAAATATTAAAATAACACAAATTAGAATTTTAGGTAAACATATATTTATATATTATATTGATAAAAGTAAAAATATTAATTTTGATACTTACTGCACGCGAGCACGACTTTCTTTAGATTTTAGTTCTATTGACTGTTTATTAGAATCATCTTTATTCTGTATTTTTTGAACAATGTCTTGATTTTCTTGAAGGTGCTTTAAGATTCCACTAAATTTGTCATGATGTTCAGTCCATTTTTCAAGATTTTCGTCATAACCGATACCTTTAAAAAAATACTAGGATTGAGACATAATGTCTATGAAGTAATATTCTTGTAAGCATACAAATTGTTTGTTCCACTTACCAGCTGTACGAGTCTTTTGCATACTCTTGATGGAATATTCTGCAATGCCTTGCTCGTTAGCACCGAGTCCTTTTCCTTTCGTCCACCCCATTTTCTCCAACATTTTCTGCCCAAATTTGTTTGTATCTATGCAGATATTAACATGCTGAGTGAATACGAGTCAAAATCAAATTATATCGTGTATATATCAGAAATGTAAAAATCTGACTTATATGTGTAGCGAAAAATACGTCTGAAAGTCTTCATATTTTTATATAAATTTATATATTTTCAAATAATAACCTTCGGTCCACCATTTCCCTCGTGGGTTAAGAGACACTTTTTGTTTTCGTCGAGATTCTGCTAGCAAAGGCATACTTCCTGATTTAATTTCGTTTATAACAATTAAGATTATAAATAATGAGACATTGATTCCCTTTTATTTATTAAAATAATTTTAAAAACTACTTTTTTTAACACATCAAATTTCTACCAAAAAATTTGCAGAAAGATGAGGTTAGATTATCTGTAACAATGTTAAAATAGCTATCAAAGACCTGTAACTCAATGGATTATTACATGATACATATGAAATATCAGCTTAAGCTTACAACACATGGTGCAGTGACACCGACTATTATTTCAAATAATTTATATTTATATATTTGAATACTGTATTAAAAATATAGTAAATGTAAGCGAATAACAAAATAAACTCAAAATTAATGCCCAAAAATTGCAAATAATCGTGCAGTTTCGGATATGCAAGTTGTGAAAAGAATTTAAGGATATTTTCAATGTTTTAGATGGCAGCACTGTGTTGTAATAAAGTGTAAACAGCATTTTATAGTGTGAGTCATTTCGCGCGTTTCTTCTACAGCATATACAGACGTATCAAAGCACATTCTCTCTCGTGTGAGTGGAGTTGTGTTCGAGTTCACTGTACGACGCAGTCTGGACCGTCTGGAGAGTGTGATTGCAAAACTGCGTAAAAGAGTTAACATTTCCCAACGATCGACTCTCGACGAGATCGACGCCATGTGTTCCACCGAGCCTGAAAACATGAATAACGGCATAAAATGCGACGACGACGTCGGCGATGCGTTCGGAACGTTCGGATACACCAGGTACGAGACGAATCTCACGTCGGACGCGTACACGATGCATCATGTGTTTATGTTGTTACATGCGAGCTCTACGCGACAGGTGTTTGCGTCGATGCAAATATGATTTAATTTTTGTACGAATACACCAGAATTTTACAACTTTCAAATAGTTAAAGTACAATAACGCACGCGAAACGTTCGATGTCAATATTATAACAATGAAAGATATCGCGGATTAACCCTTATCACGGTATTCGAACAATCAATGGATGACCCTCTTGGAGTGAGTCATTACTCAATTATATTGAATCGATCAAGTTATTTAGCTTTTTTGTTTAATGTCATCAACTTGCAAATTATAATTTTTTGTTTTCTTCATAGAAATTAGAAATTAAAAACTATAAACGAAAGATATAAATAAAACATTTGAATTTAGTTTAAACAAGTATTATACAAAATATTTGGAACAATAACATATTTTTTTTACAGAAATAGTGTAGCTCCTATACCTACACCATTACAAACAGCACCTACTGAACGTAATGCCACATATTATAATATGAATCATCCTAGACGTGGTTTAGCCCTTATCTTTAATCATGAATTTTTCACTATCTCACATCTCAAATCACGCAGTGGCACAAATGTTGATTGTGATAATTTGATCAAAACATTGAAAAGTCTTGACTTTGAAGTAAATGATTTTCACAATTCACCTCATAAAGAAATAGTGAAAAATTTAGAAAGAGGTGAGCTATATTTTGAATTTTGTTATTTTTATGTATTTATTTTAAAAAAATTGAAGGATATCTCATGTCATGAAACATACTGGGTTGATCAGAAAGATCCTTTGGATTTTTCGATAAAAATAAAAGACAAAAGGAAGGATCTTTTTATGATTAACCCAATATACATATAATATATATAAAAATATTTTATTTTAAAAATAAATTATTTTTTTTATAGTGGCAGAAATGGATCATTCAGATCATGATTGCTTAGTAGTAGCCGTGTTAAGTCACGGTGAACTTGGTCTCATTTATGCTCATGATACTGCTTACAAAGCAGAGTCTCTTTGGCATCACTTCACTGCCGATAGATGCCCTACTCTTGCCGGCAAACCTAAGATGTTCTTTATACAAGCCTGTCAGGGCGATAAACTGGACCCAGGTCTTACTCTTAAGGAGCGTACTGAAACAGATGGACAACCAGCCGCGACATTCCGTATTCCATCACAAGCGGACTTTCTTATTGCGTACTCTACGGTACCAGGTATTTACAGTATTACTATTTACAGATGAATATTAAATTTGTAAAAACTTAGGTTGTAATTATTGTAAATCATAATCAACATGAGCTAATTGCACTTTTTAACTTGTAATTTATAAATAATTTTCGAAATCAACAGGTTATTATTCCTGGAGGAATACCAGTCGTGGATCATGGTTCATGCAAGCGTTGTGCATGGAATTGTGCGAAAACGGCACTCGTTACGACTTATTAACTCTGTTGACATTTGTATGCCAACGTGTCGCTTTAGACTTTGAGTCAAACACGCCTGATAACATAACCATGCATCAGCAAAAACAAATCCCATGTATCACATCTATGCTGACACGTCTGGTAAAATTTACGTCTCAAAAGAATGGACTTGTATAGTCTGCAGGGTAAAGAAAATTATGCATTTATGTCTATCTACTTAAAGTACCATAGATCATATCGTTTAGCAAGACTGCAATGACACAAGTATCAATTTTATTTATGCGTTGCAGTTTACTGATACAAATTGCTGTGTATTATATTTTACATATAATATTTTATATAATTTTCATTGTTTTTTAAGCAATTTTATAAATAATTTGTGTCTCAATGCGAGTATCGCATTTAAATTGAAAACAGCAATCTGAAGTAATATCTTTCTTTTGAGTGATAAATTTTTATACGTTCATGTAATTTTTTTACTCAATATTGTTCCTTTGATCTCTAGCGAAAAAACAAATAATTACTGCCACTTTAATACCTTTATAAATTTTTTTAAATATTTTTTATTTTATTTTCATTTACATACATATCTTTACGAAATATTGCGTTGTGATAAATAGCATTTCTCTCTTTTTTTTAACATAATGTATAACTGCTTACGATAAACAGTAAAGTATAAAATATAAGAATTTACTTGGGAGAACTTCAGAAGCAATTATTTTACTTCTGACATTCTCATTTCGTATGCAATTAAAGTACACAATAAGTACAAATAAAAGATTTATCGATTGTATTAAAACATAGATTTATATACAGCTACTCTTAATCATATTTTTTCCGTCAGTACTTTATATAAATATAAAATATATATTTAAAAAATTACAATAAAGATTTCATACGCATATTACTATAGCATTGATGTTACGCGTACAGACACATACACACACACAAATGGAATATTTTTAAATCATATGTATATACATATGTATATGATGTGACTGTCCTAATTTTTACGATTATATGCATATATTTTATACCAAGTTCATAAAAGCAATGTGTGTATGATCTCTAAGCAATAGCCTGGCATTGTCAAAACAATATTCAGTATTCAATTTTATAATGCATACTTATAATCTGCCTGACATAAAATAGTTGTGATTTACTGTAAGCTATAATTACAACGAATATTCGAATGTTACAAAAAAATGTTGAAAAAAAAAGAAAAAGGAGAAAATATGACATAAGTTGCATCATAATTAAAGTATTAAAATACATCACCTGCCTTCGAGCATCTAAATCGTCAGCAGGTATGCAATGTGTTGTGTCGCTAGTTTAATAAACATAAAGGAATAGATAAGAATAAAAAAAAATCGATTAATATTATAGCAAAAAATGCTGTATTCGCAAGAGAAACGGTAACGAAATTTCTGCGAAACGTGATACAAAGTCTTTCATAGTAAGAGTAATCGAATTCATATGCCTTATACGCTTGCAATTGTTTGATAACTATGGTTAAACTATGTAAGACTAATGTATACATAACGTACATGACGTATATTTAGACATTTTTTATATACAATGGTAGTTTCAGCGAATTTCTCATTTATTGTTCCTCGTGTAAGATGTTCGCAATTTACCATATAAATGCATTTTGCAATGTTAACATCTTATCTAAATGACGTTACAAACTGATTGCTCAAAGATATAAGATGTCGTTGCAAAATAAAATCGCGCAATGCTTCTCGCATTGTGCATTGTGATAAATATGTGGTAAGAATAGCCACTACATACGCGACAAGAATCCAGTCTCAAAATTACTGTCGAATCAATGTTACCGGAGTATTGAAGCAATTTTGCAGCATCCTTTATTCATTAGCTTTAGTAATAATTGTGCTTTGTATCGTATATATTTGTAATATCTTTCTATACATGAACTTATATACAAATTTACACAATAAATCTGTGAAGATGAAATGCATTACTGTTGCATTGTAATATATTTTAATCTAATATAATTATTATATTACAGACAGTCAAGAAACTTAATACATTCTTTTAAATCAAAAATATATTTTATGCACGTATCTTTCGTTGGATTATATTACATATATGCTATGAGTTTACAAATTTCTATATTATTCACAAAACTAAAATTATTTTTGTACTTTCTCGAGTTTAAAAATAGTAGTTTAACAGTACAAAGTATTTTTATACAAAAGATATTAATGTAATTAAGTAATGCTGAAAATAGCAGTGTTCATGATATTAAACAATGTTACAATATTTCTTACAATAATATAATTTATAGTCTCTCTTTTTATAGCCGCGAGTACAGCTTTACATTCACATTTTTAACTCTGTAATACATATATATATGGTCCCTTTAGCTTAATGAAGTATAAAATTTACACAGATTCTGTCATTGAAGCACTTGTCCAGGAATATTAAATATCGTCATTTTATTCGGTAAGCGTTGTGATCTTTCTGGCGCTGTATACGGACGGATTAGTTTCGAATTTACATAACTTTCACTATGATCGATGTTTAAATTTAAGGGATCTAATATTGTTGTCATGGTTTGTGTGCTTTTCTCCCCGGCGGAGGTTTCTTTGTTAGGCGTAAGATTCTGTGAAAGACTTTCGCATTCAATGGTTGATTGCTCGATTGGAAGAGGGGCAGTCTTATTTCTCCGTACAAATGCTTTTATAATGCTTTTTCCTTCGATAGTACCTAGAAAAATATTAATATTTAATATATATATTTTTAATTTATTATTACATTAATATGTAGCACTTACCATTGCGTGGTTCACTTATTAAAGCTTCATCCTGAAATTTTACAGAGAAATAATAATGTATAATAGAAACTTCATATTGGAATATATTTTTCAGATGAAGAATGTAATTAATATTTATTCGCACCTTTGTTGCCAAAAGATCTCTAATAGGTTTAAAAGGATTAGAGTGTATAGACATTCTTGACGGTGTATTAGATGCAACAGACTGTGGTGCCTGAATATTTACACGTTGGTAATTTTGCAATTGCTTGGTTCTGCTATTTAGAGCAGTATAATTCTTTATTATGGTATCTAACAACCACCTGTGGAAAATAAATTCTGATTATCAATACAGAAGTATATATTATTAAACCTTCATTTTGTACGTATATTTAAGTCTTCCAGGCTATGATTGCAAACTTACTTGTATCCATTTTTTATACCCATAGTACTATTCTTTGATTGTTCCTTGTCATAAATGCAGGTACATGTTTCTACTCTTGTCGGACATTTCATAGCATTGGCTGCATGCTCAACATCCAGGTTTTCAACCAGGTCTAGCTCGTCGATAGCTCCATTTAAGTCCTGTTTGTTGGCAAGTCTATGCATACAAAAATCTGAATGAAATCACAGTATGAACAATGTGTTTTATCACCACTCTTTATCACACATAAATAAACTTTTTAAATTATAGAGATACATATTAAAAAATATATATTGTGAGACAAATGTGCACAAGTAACAATGTGCAGACATAAGTGAAAATTTAGATCTCTTACAACAATAATGGTTTCGATGCAATATGCTCATGTGTGATTAATTCATTAAACACGACTTTATTTTCTGCAAGACGAGAAATATCACTAGCATCCACCACGTATATAAGACCATGTATCTAGAAGATGTCAAACGAGACATAGAATATTGCAGTTCTCATTGCAGTCCACACAGTATAGAAGCTAATATATATTGTTTAATTAATTAATTTCATTATATTTATTTTTATAGATATGATATGTGATTGCAATGTCAGTTGTTAAAAAAATTGCACAAATCACTTACATCATTGTAATATTTAGGCCACAATGCTCTAATCTGAGAACTGCCACCAAGATCATATATTTTCACCGAATATGATTTATGCTTTAAGGATACCGTTCGGAATCCCATTGTAGGCAGTACATTTTGATCTGGATCTATAAAAAAACGTGCATCATGTAAGATTAGTAATTTTCCATCAGCATTATAATAGACAATATATATTTTTAGGAAAAATTTTTGAAAAATTTACCACCACTAATGTGATTCAGTATCAAGGACTTTCCAGCATTGTCCAGTCCCACAATAAGTAAAATAATGGTTCTGTAAATCACGAAAGGAGAATGTAAACAGAGGACTTCGCGCCTTCGTTACAACAAGCACTCTTTATGTGATAAATAATGCATACTTTTCTGCGCCGCGATTTCTTCGCAGCCTCTTCAACACGCTCCTGATGCAATTACCCATTGTGGGAGAAAAACAACCCGTAATTGTGCGTTACGGTCTTAAATGCGCGTCGACGAACTTCTGTCATTCATCGCATCGTTCCACGCATCATTGGTAACCCCATGTTATCATATATCAGCGTACACACACATACTATCATATGTGTGACGCATCGTACCAGCCACGATAGCCATGTGCTAGTATGTATAGGGCATCCCAGATGTAACCAATCTTATATATACAGATCATTTTTATTTTGTTTCCAAACAATCATTATACACATTTGACTTTTTCTCGTATTAATATAAAAAAAACATGAATATGCATTGAATTACGTTGAGAGAAACAAGCAACTCCAGATTGGAGCATTAGAGTCAGCAAGTTTGTTACAACTTTACATGGTCCATTAAATCTGTAACGCTCTGTATAACCCGCATATGTCATTCCAAGTAATCTCATTTCATATTTACTGCTAAATGTAATTGCCCGTGCACTGTCTCGTCTTTTGAATACATATGAACGTGCTCTTTATGTAAAACATTAGATCTTAGAAACAGACAGTAACGTTTAATATAGCGTGTACTCGATAAACGCAGGACTTTGACAAGAGCATAATAAAACTTTTTAATTATAATAATTGCTATGATGAAATGTGTAGTACTTTCATTAATTAGTACACAATAAAAGAGTAATTAATAATTGTATGAAGGAAAAGCGTAATTAATAAATGTACGAAACGTTTTACCTTTATTGTCTCATTTTATAATGAAGTTTTTATCAATTTATTTTTCTTTAATAAATGTGACAAGAGAAACAATCGTGTTTTCTAATTTTTTATTTTTTAGCATTATATGTCTTTACATATTTTTAATTGATTTGATAATCTGATCGCAAAAATCGGCTTTTATCTTTTATATATTTACATATACGTACTCTATATCTACATATACATACATGATTCATGGTATTAGAAATCAAAGCGAGGCAACACGAGGCAATCATCTGATTCTTGTTACTACATAACACGCAAATTGCACGTATTATTATTTATCGCTTCGGCATAAAATTGTTCAATAAATTCGAATAAATTGTGATTGAATTAATCATGGAACAGTATTTAAAAAATATTAAAGTTGGATTTATTGGAGGCGGAAATATGGCCAGTGCTATAGGTGCTGGTTTAATACACAAAGGTAATTGTACTTCTTTGTATTTATTAAATGGACTTAAAGACACATATTTACAGAAATAATAATACATTTTGGTATAACAGGTGTATTAAATCCGAATAATGTCTGGGTTTCTGGTCGTACAAACAGAACACATAATTTTTGGAAAGATTTGGGTGCTTATCCAACTCTGAAAAATAAAGAAGTTGTGAGTAATTGTGAGATTATATTTCTGACAGTGAAACCGCACATGCTGGATGATGCACTTAGCACTATAGAAAAGGAATCTGATCGGAAATTTGAGAAGAAGCTTTTTATTTCCGTGCTTGCTGGAGTACCTCTTGAAGTCTTGGATGCTGTAAGCACAAAAAGATTTTAATGCATTATTTTAATTTGTACAGTAATTTATACATTAAAAAATATGTTTAGAAACTGTCAAGGATTGCATCATCACCAAGAATAATTAGATCTATGCCAAATACACCCATGATGGTTGGAGAAGGAATTATAGGTATGCTAGATACAATACATGCAGATTAACTTACGTGTTAATATAAATGTAATTTTTAGTTTATTGCAGCGAGAATGCCAGTCCTAAAGATTTAGAGGTGATAGATGCATTGTTTTCTTATATTGGCATAACTCAAAATGTTCCGGAAAGTCTTATGAATGCTATTAGTGGTCTGTCAGGTTGTGGTCCAGCGTTTGTAAGTTATTATAGTAATGTTACTATGAGTAGAAAGTTGAAATCACCTTAATAATCTTACTTTATTTTATAGGCATATCTTGTCATAGAAGCATTGGCGGATGGAGGTGTTAGGATGGGTGTACCAAGGCCAATGGCGACTAAGTTTGCAGCACAAGTGTTAGTAGGAGCTGGAAAAATGGTACTCGAGACTGGACGACATCCTGGTCAATTGAAAGATGAAGTCTGCTCACCTGGAGGTACTTCTATCGCTGGTGTTCATGCCATGGAAGCAGGAGGAGTCAGGTATTTTATGCATCTTGTTAAACATATATGCATTTAATGATTTAACTTATAAGTAATTTTAATTTATTTTATTTGAATTTTGTAGGGGATCTATGATGAATGCTGTTCAGGCTTCTGTAAATAAAACAAATGAACTAACATCCCAATCAAAATAATTTCCATAGTTAATATATTGGGATACTTCAGTAGAGAAATAGAAATAGATAATTTAATTTCACAAGCAACTTTTTTTTATATTCTTACAGTATTGGAAAAATTTTTTCTTTAAATATTATTATGTGGTGGAATATCATGTGATCACATCATACATGTAAGTCTCGATATTTTTTTTAAGTGTATTTACAAATCAGTAATTCCTGGTATTATCAGTTATTCATGGTATTACTACAGTTTATTATAAAAAATATATACAATATACATATATACAGTATGTTACCTATTGACTATCTCAGAAATTCATAACAAATTTACTTTATTTTAAGATGTTTAGCAATCAATTAATTTTTGATGCAATAATAATAAGCTGACAAATTACTTTTATAACTCAAAGTATATCGCAAAGTATATTATTTTATTTTGTGCATTTTATCATAAAAATTAATTTTTTGCATATTCTACACAACGTGAAGGATCTGTAGGATAATACTCTTGACATTTAGTCATCAGTCTCTTGAGTGCTTGAATATATTTTCTCTGAGTTTCATCGTTCATGACATGAGCGACATTCTTCGAAAAGATTTTCTCCCTGCCAGTACGAGCGTGAATACCAACCATAGTGACACCAATAGGCCATGGAGAGTTGCCTATAGCCATTTGCAAATAAGCATCACTAGCCTAAAATAATAATCGGTTTTTTTATTAAAAATTTCTAATATTTAGTTATATATAAAAATATTTTTCTCATTATATTTATATGATTAATGTAATATATTGTAATGTATGAGATTCATACCAATATATAATTACGCTGTAGTAAGTGTTTAACGATTTCTGTTAAACTATCAGTTATATCCTCTGGGAGAGATTTATTTTTCAACTTCCTTAAAAGCGGCTTTAAATACTCTCTTGTTTGGGCATACGTGGCACTATTCATTTTTCCTTTTGTGCCCATTTTTTCAGCAGTTGACCGGCTGTTTAATTGAATGCCCCACATCTGAACCAGATATTGTACAAATAGAGTGATGACATTCATATCAAATTCTTTGTCCCCCTTGTTTAGTTTAGTCGACATTTTTTGTATATCCTCGTAGGTAACACCCTCATCAGGTACATTTACATCTCCTTTTCCATCAAGACTTTGAGATTTTGAGGATGTTAAGATTTCGTTAAGATATGCTTGATCCACTTGTTCCATGGCCTCTTGAAAATCATTTCTAAAGCCCTGTTGATAAATTATGGTTAAGCATTTTTTGGCAAGGTACTAATCAATAGAAATTATATATAAACAAAAATGTCTTACCTTATTTACTTCTGGTTCAAGAATTTCACATTTCCTTAATCTCTTGAATGCTTCTATTTCAGATTCGCCAAATAATAATATGGGCTCTGTTCGTTCACGTAATCGCCTAACCACTTCTTGTCTTGATAGCAAGTGATCAGAGCTGCTGTCTGCTACAGATTCCTCTGACTGTTGATTAGTGTTTGATGGAGTAGCTTCGTTGTTCTTCTTATCAGTTTCATGCACTTCCTGCTCTTTTGATATTAATTGACTCCTTTTGAAATATTTCTTATTGTTCTCCTGTAAAAACATATCTTATAAGTATAAGTATAAACGTATAATCTCCTAAGACCGCAGAATGTAACACATAACAGGACAACTTACTAGGACACGACTTTCTTCCAATTCCTTGCGTTTCTTCATTATCTCTGCTTTCAGAATATCCATTTTGCTAATAAATATGATAACTATATAAGTAAACTTTCAAGGAAAATAATTATAAAGAAAACAAGCTTTATATAAATGTTACTGCTTTATATAAATGTTACTGCTTTAATGATTGAATTCCTTTGCTAAAAGGTTATACTATTAACACATATCAATTATCATGATTTAATTAAATCAATATAATGTAACATAAAAATTTTTAAATCTTCTAAGTAAAATTTTACTAATCAAAAGTTTATATTATGTAGTAGTTCATTAAATTCTTCTGAAAATGACAGAAAACAGCTTTGTACCACAAACAACGCGTCTAGATTTAAAGCGCAAGAAGCAAGAAGCATGAATTGACATGAATGGATGCAGTGTTGCTAAACGGGACGCTTTTTTCGCGCATGCGCGACGCATACAGCTATGGGTGCGTTCAGAAAACACACAGTTACACAACTGTTACGTTACGTATACTATAGATACATGAGCACATATGCGCTTTACGGAACGCAGCCTAGATTTACAATAGGTGTAGCAAGCTTTAAGCCATAAGAAATTGACCAATTACAATCTATTCTTCTGTGATTTGTCTGTGAGTGATCATTACACCTATTGTAGACCCGGCCTAAGATAAACAGAGTAAGCATCACCTTTAGATTCTTTCTCTTTCGACACTGAATTATTTTTAGCCAAGACAAATTATTTTCCCAAATCTGGTAACTATGATATTTCTACATACTTTTATATAAGTAAGTATTTCTATATACTTGTTGTTCGAGACGAGAAACATGCGAGAGATGCTCCGAAATTGGAACTGTCAAAGTCAATATATGGTTATGATTTTTACAACAAACAGCCTGTCGCACAATTTATAATTTTGTGTGAATTGTACATAAGCGTGCAATCGCAAGTAGCAGATTTGAGACATTGACGAAACGAATTTCTGCGAATAATGGTGCTAAATGATTGTCCGGACCCGGAAAGGGTAGGATGCGGCTTCAGCGCGTTTAAAGAAATAGACGAAGTGACTGCATTGATAGCGGAATTGAGAAAACCAGATTTGTCGCCAAGTCTCGTGGAGAGGAACAGGGATCGCTTTAATTTTATTCTGTCTCAGTATCAGGATCAGCATCAGCTTCTGGATCCATATCTCGAGAAGATCTTGGAATCCCTGCTGTCAATTATAAAAGATGAGGAATGTGCAGAGAGCATCAAACATAATACATTCAAATATTTGTTTATTATTATGTCAGTAAAAACGTATAAAAAGATTGTTACTTATCTACCACACGAGGTAGTAGATCTTTTACCTGTGTTAAGGATGCTTGAGAAACAAGATCCAAATGATGTAGAAATATGGGAAACCAGATATGTTCTTCTCATATGGTTGTCTATTATTTCAAAAATACCATTTCCCCTTTCTCGCTTAGAGACATCTGAGAATGTAGATCCTGAGCAAACTATTGTTGTCAGGTATTATTAATATTATTGTCTACAATATATAGAGTATAATTTATTAAAATATTAAATATAATAAACTATACTAATTATATTTTGATGTATATTTCAGAATTTTAAAAGTATGTAAACTGTATTGCCTCTCAAAAGATGCATGCGCTGTAGCAGCTGTGTTTTTAATAGCAAACTTTTTAACAAGATCAGATGTCAAGAAGTTGTATTTAGAGGAAATGATCATGTGGTGTTTAAAGGTAACTTTCTTCTAATAATATCAAACATTATCTTTATAAGATTTTAAATAAAAAATGTAAAATATTTATAGTTATTGTGAATTAAGGCAAATAGATTTTTAAGTATTTTCCATTTTTATAGTGTATAGAAAATGACTCTATGAGACATGGGCCTCTGGCTGTCATAGCTTCGATATTAAAACATAGTGCAAGGGAAGATGTCAAGCCATATAGTCAAATGCTTCTCGATAATATGTTGAAACTTCGGCTGAGTGACAATCCAGCAGATCTTATTAGAAAATTTGGAACAAAGTTGTTCAACGCATAGGTGTGTAAAAATTCAAGTTTTACTTAATTTATTTGTTATAAATATTTTATTGTTACAATATTTTGCAGGTTTGGTATTGTTGAGAACAAAATTAGCATCCTGGCGTTATCAGAAGACGAGTCGGCCGATAAACATTATGCCTAATGTTAAAACAGATAATATTGATAACACTGAAAGTGTTACCGATCTTAAAAATACTATTTCAAATGACAATGAAGATCAAGAGATTCCTCCAGCCATCGAAGATATAATAGAGCAACTCATACAAGGTCTTCGAGATAAAGCAATCACTATAAGGTACGTATGCGTTATTTTACATACATATAACAGACCATATTCATTAAAGACAATATTAAATTAGATAATAGTGTAAAGATATATAATTTAGATCACCTAATTACATAGGTGGTCTGCAGCGAAAGGCATTGGCAGAATAACAGCGAGACTGCCGATGGACTTGGCTGATGACGTACTGGGATTTGTGTTGAATCTATTTTCCGGACGTGAATCAGATTCAGCATGGCACGGTGGTTGTTTAGCACTGGCGGAACTTGGTATTAAGGCTACCTCTTTATATTTCAAAACGTTTTATAATTTTTATTCTTCTGTCACACATTTTTATACTACATTTGCATATTTCAGGAAGACGTGGTTTGCTGTTACCTCACCGTCTAAGCGATGTTATTCCTGTAGTCCTGCAAGCCTTAGTCTTTGACGAACCTAGAGCTTATGGATCGATTGGGTATTTGATTAGGGACGCCGCTTGTTACATATGCTGGTCTTTTCCGAGAGCCTACGATTCCCACGTTTTCGAACCTTACGTCAAAGAAATCGCGGCGATGTTATTAGTGGTGACATGCTTCGATAGAGAGGTATAAATCATATATATAATTTCCATTTGTATTGCATTTGTAATTCACGCGTTATTAATACATTAATATGTTATTGTATTAATAGATAAATTGTAGAAGAGCAGCATCCGCCGCGTTTCAAGAAAATGTCGGCAGACAAGGCAACGTTCCGCATGGTATCGATATATTGACTGTCGCCGATTATTTTGAAGTTGGTGTAAGGAGTCACACGTATCTTAAAATCAGGTATAGAATTTTACGAACATTCTACATTAATAATTTTATTGTTTATTTATAATTGATAATTATTGTTATTAGTGTCCAAATTGCGCAGTACGAGGAATACACGAAGCCCTTAATAGATCACCTAATTGCGAAAAAGGTCACACATTGGGACACTGCAATCAGAGAACTTTCAGCTCGAGTAAGTTTAACATTTGATACTAATACATATTACATGTATGACTCGAATATTACAAACTTTCAGTTCTGTATATGTTATTTGTAATCTGTTACAGTCGCTTTTCAATTTAACGGCGGCTGATCCGCATTACATGATAGACACGGTATTGCCGACTCTGTTGGACATGCTAAATTCTATCGACTTAAATGTTAGGCATGGTGCGGTATTGGCCACCGCGGAGATTCTCGAAGCTTTATACAATCACTTTAATGATAAAATTGAAAATATTATCGGTAAGAATCTACGATAGATTTTTGTTCTTCTTTAAATACTCATTATTAACTAAAATAATTTTATTTAGGAGCCACAGCTGTGGCCGATATACAGGATATAGTAAGAATATTCAGAAGCAGAGGACAATTTAAAGGGCTTGGAGGAGAACTGATGAAGCAGGCTTGCGCTGTGCTAATCAAGAAATGTTCTATCGTTCACTTTCCTATTCACTTCTCAGATGTTGTAGGCAAGTATAATTAATTAAGATAATTTACGTTTATTGAAATTTCTCGTATATTTATTCAATATTTGTGTAATACAGAAGATTGGCAGAAGCTCTTGGAGGAATGCTTGAGTCACGAAGTGTCAGCGGTTAAACTAAAAGCAGCCGAAGCGCACACGAACTTTTTCGTAGAATATTATGTAGACATCGATTATGATGCTCGAAGTGCTGTAGTCAATCGTTATTTAGAGTCCTTACGATCGCACAATCAGCCAATTAGAATAGGATTTGCACAAGCAATAGGTAAGTCGAAGAATATATTAATAACGAAATATTAAATCCCATATACATATTTTTATTCATTTCAATCGTTGCAGGTCATTTCCCATTGTTTGTAATTCGGGAAAGAGTAAAAGACGTCATAGAAGCGTTAATCACGTGCACTCACATATCCGAAAACACATTAAAATGGGCGGAAAGTAGGAAAGAAGCTTTACATTCTTTAATATTGGTATTGCAAACATTAGGAATCGATGAAGCAGGTGAGTTCTCATTCATTTCACATTTGCCTACAATTCAGAATTTATTGAAACCGAAGAAATACATATTTTCAGACAAATGGCAGTTGTTTGTACCAGATTTGTACGATTGCTATTTACTGGCTCTCAAAGAATATACGATAGATAGTCGTGGAGACATAGGTGCTTGGGTGAGAGAGGCGGCCATGATCGGATTACATGTGCGTATTCCATCGTAAAGAAACAATCGGAAATTTATTGTCATTAAAATGTATCAATATTGTTACACAGGTATTGACCAACTTAGTATCCCAAGCAAAATTATTATCTGTGTTGAACGAGAATTTAATGGCTAACATTATCGGCGGTATCGCACAACAGGCTGTTGAAAGAATAGATGGAATTCGAGCGCAGGCTGGTACTGTGTTCAGTGCGCTTATACACAGGTAAAAATTCAATGACATGCTTTTATATTAAATTTTTCATTGCACACCAGAAAGCTAAATAGAATATAAAGTATTTCATTTAAAAATATTTATTGTTTTTTTTTTTTTTATAGCGATCCACCACTTCCAAATATTCCACATCACAGCGAGTTAAAAACTATATTTCCTTATAACGAATGTAAGGAGACTATCGAATGGAGGATGGAATCTGCAACGTTTCCACGATTTATTAAAATGTTAAGTTTTCCACCGTATAAAGTAAATCTGTTACGAGGAATTGTATTCAGCGTTGGCGGCTTAAGCGAATCATTGGTAAAGCCAACATTTATTGAGTTATATCAATTATATATTCTGTATAAGATATTATTGTAGCACTTATGGAAATTAATTTGCTTGGAAAAAGAAAAATTTCAACACTTTATGACTTAACTAATCAATTTTAATCGTAACTAAATATTTCTCTTTTACCAGGTAAAATACTCGAGTGTTTCCTTATTTACTTATCTGCAAGAAATCGATGAAGTCGGTTTACGGGATCTGTGTGAGAAGATATTAAACATATTCGAGGAGAATCATAAAAATGAAAGGATGATAATATCAATGTTGGCTTTCTTGGATCGTTTATTGAGTTCAGGCTGCATTCAGTCCATTTTGGACGATGCAGATAATACAATCTCAGAGCGTATATTGGCGCTATTAAAACATGAAATCAAATATTCCAGCAATATGAAATTGCTTATTAGTAGTATAAATGTTTTCTGTCAATTGCTACAGGTTTGTAAAAATTTGTTACAAATAATTATTGAAATTTACAATTTTAAATTAAACATTATGTTTCCAGGTGCGAGGTCCTGTTGCAAAAAGAGCGTTTTGTCAGCTGAGTATATTTTTGTGTCACAAATACACAAGCTTGAGAAAAACAACAGCTATACGTACTTATGAAGCTTTGACTCTTTATGGAGAAGAGATGGATATAGCGGAAGAAGATTTGACAAATATACTCACAAAATTGAACGCGACAGATTGGGAGCAACCCATCGCAGATTTACGTCCGACCAGAAATCATTTGTGTGAACTAATGAAAGTACCTGCTCCAGTTTTGCAAATAAAGTCGACAAATTGAAGAAGGTTATTTTATGTACAAAGATCTTAGCTTTTCTTTAAGATCGTATTTTATTTTTATGCTTGCATAGCATAAAGTGAAATAAGATTCAATCGCTATGCTAATACAGCTGACGCTAATACAAAGAGAAATACTGATAATTTGCACACATCAAATAAGATTTAATGTTAAACTATAACACTGTTTAATAATATTGTATATATGTACGCATACACATATAAAAATGATGTGACATTATTTTTTCCTATCATGCAGACCTATAGCTTTTGTAAAATTAATAATAATTTGTATAATACTGTATACTTGTATACTGTATAATATATATTTTATATAAAATGTGGACATGTAAAAAAAGTATTTCCATAACACTAAAATAGAGAAATGCTTTCTAACATACATTTAGATTTCTAAGTATTTATATTCCTAAACTAGTTCGTGATATAATGAGTATTCGATTTATCAAAATTGTACAAAACTATAATCTCTCTTTGATCTTAACATTCATTGTGATCATACATGTTTATTTTTTGTTCGTCAAAGTGATTTCTATTAATAGAAATGTTGTTAGTTATATAATGAGCTAACAGCTTAGCTCCACACTTCTCAATATTCCACTGTTGTATCCACCAATTGCGCTTACTGATTTCGCCAGTTATTGGATCTCTCGGCAGAGGACAATTATACTGTTTTCTCGTTACTATACTTGTTTTTAATCCATGATTATTCTGTATTTGTTCACAAACAAAACATTCAAACGCTTCCATGTAATTTGCAAATTCATTAATAGTGCCTGTCGGTCTTTTTCTGAGCGCGTGTAGCAATCTATTATTTGTAACACGATAATCGCGCTCGTTTAATTTATGAGATAAGTACTCTTCGTACGCAGAATCATCTCTCACGAGTTTGTGCAAAAAGTTGGCAAGTTCTACTGGACTGGCAAAGTCTAGTATTGATATGGCAGATTTATTATTTGGCAACCAATCCTACAAAGTTAAATATGCAATGTATAAAATAGATTGAATTATAAGATTCACGAAACTTGCGTGATTTTAATACTACAATATTCTTATTTCAAGTGATACCTTGAAGGACGGCGATCCGTAATATATGGGTACGGAACCAACAACAAGTGGCCTCCACAGTTTTTCTGTGATATAATCATCGCAAACTGCATTTTCAAAGGCTATGGTAAACTTGTATTTGGCCACAAAGGATAAGAATTCACGATTATTTAAAATATCGAGGTAGTTGTTTTTAAACCTGGACAAATATTTTATCTACTAATAATTATTAATCTCACTTGACATAAGAACTGTATGATGTAAAGTAATATACCTGTCATCAAATTGAGCATTATTTACACATGCACCATAAGAATCGATTCGAATATGTTTCATTAACTCTATTACATAGTGATCTCTGTCACTGGCAGTATCACAGTCAGATTGAATATACAATACTGGTGCTAAATTCTCAGTGTGCATGAATACAGATTTCTCTTTGGTAGGCACGTAATAAGATGTTGCTACAAACAGATTAAAGTATCAAATTAGGGACAGTGGCTCCAATAAGGGTCATTGAATATTTTGTTTTATTTGTTTTATATATTTTATCTATTTTAAGATGTTTTTAGCATACAACAGCTTCTATGAAACAATTAAAAAAGTTTTGGAAGATTCTGATTTAAGATGAATAAAATATTCAATAAATTTCTGATTTCTATCTCTGATCCTAATTTGATACTCTACTTTATAGTTTATTATTATTTTCTTTATACAAATCAGAAAAAACTTAGCTATATTTAATTATTTAAATAACAATAAATTTAAATGAAGTCAGTGCATTAATTATACTTTTTCAAATTTGTCTATTTACCTATTAATTCTTCTAGGTCAGGTAAATCAAGAAGTGTGAGTGGTACATCGCTAAATCTACTGAAGGTAGAAGAGTAATTGAAAAGATTAAGCGTTTTTTCATGAACAAGTATAGGATTATTTCTAGGAGATTCTTCATGAAGTAAACCCCACGATATGGCATTGCTTCTCCAATTAGGCAAATCATGAATACGAAAATCACTTCCATAAAACAAAATACTCTACAAAAATTGATGGTTATGATTTACTTAAAACAGTTGTTTCTTAACTCAAGTAAGTAAAAAGAGAAAAGAATTATACTTTTAAACGAGTATTGTTCTTAAATGCTCTATTGTATGTAAAGTAGCATTTAGCGCTTCCACAAGTTTTCACTTGATTGTTATTACCGAATGGCGTCCACCATAATATGACAGGTGTATTGTCATCTGGGCGTGATAGAAGAATATTAAAATATATCAATCTTTATTAAATAGCATTGATATGACAGTATAATTAATGGATTACCTGAGAAAGACAATTTTGTGCTGTCGTAAAGCAGTAAGCATAACTGAAAATTATGAAAACTAATTAGTTTCCGCAACTGCCAATTTATTTGACATTAACTAATCGTTTATATATATATATACATATATATGTACCTGAAATATTATGATACATATACCTAGCGTAATCGTAATTGCAAACATTAGGCGTATTTTTCGCACCATCATAATGTCGGATATTTGTAAAAATATTCATAAAAATATTACTCTTCTCGGAGTATTAATTACTAATTATTAATCAAACATAGCCTAAAAATGACATATGTCAAATTTTATTACTAAAGGCGCTACTTCAATCAGCGCGCAAAGCATTCATCAAATTTTGATTGGCCGATGCATCTCGATATTGAAATGCAATGTATCGAGAAAATAGTATCGATCTCTCGAATCGCATCCTAATAAAAATATCGATATTTGTATCGAAGTATCGGTACTTGTTCGCAGTTCGCCGCGCTTTGTTGCCGTTATACGGAACCGTGCACGACTGAGTTGCAAGGATTCAGAAAGAGCGTCGTAGCTGGCTTAATTCGGTATATTACCTCCCGCTGCGATCGTCGGCGCGCGCGTCCGTGATATTTTTCGCCGCACTCGTGCGCCTTGGGGGCCGCCACGAAGCCTGCCAGCTAGCTAGTTAACCAGTCAGTCGACCAATCATCAGTCGTCGGAGCTCGTCGCGCCTCGATTCGCTCTTGTATCTCCATCGCGCTCTAACCTCAATTGTATTGCTGCTCGTCGCGAGCGAGCCGTCTCGCTTCCGCGCGCGCGCTTCCTCTCGGATCTCTTCTCTCTTTACACCGCACCTTCGCGTCCCTTCCCCGCGCTCTCCCGCCTCTGTTGCCCTCTTCCTGTCCGCGTACGTACGTACCGTGCTGTCCGTCTCTTCCTCCCCCGCCCTCCCCCCAACCGTATCTCCCTCTCTTCTCGTGACTCTCTTTTCCTCCTGCTAGAATCGACTAGTGTATCGTCGTCGCGCGATTTTACTTGGTCTCGTGTGTTACGGACGGCTACAGACATCCAGGATGCAAGCTATCAAGTGCGTGGTCGTCGGCGACGGGTATGTAAAACACAGGATCATCGTGAAGAGCTGTTTTGTACTCGGGACTCGGACTCGCAGCGCAGGGAGAGCTGTGATCCACAAAGGGATCGAAAGGATCGAAGGGATCCCACCGCACGAACCCACACGGGGACGATCGTGGGCGAGCGGTTACCTTGGGACGCTCTCTTGGCTGCGCTCCGAGGCCCGATTACCTCGATGCTTTTCCGGAGCGTGAGCGTGATGCCTTACGCGAGCCCACCACGCCCGTGCGAGCCCGTGAAACGACGTTGACGTGTTCACGCGTGTTTTCACGAGGACGTCACATTTTTTTTGCACTTTCCACGGCCGTACGTCGGTATCTGACGTGTGGCACGAAAACATAAGAGCGCGAAATCTTCATTGATTAAACGGATCTAATTGAAAATATTGGTATATCATCCTTTTTTTACGAAAACGCGACAAAATGTTTCAGAAAAAAACGATGACTTATGAAACTTGTGCGGTAACTTCGCTTCTTACATCATGATTCATCCAATTAACATATATGGATATTTTTTTTTACTGTAGAAAAATTAATTTATATCAACTCGATAACGTTATGTACGCATTATTTATATTTGTATTTTCTAGAGCGGTCGGTAAAACATGTTTGCTGATCAGTTACACCACCAATGCATTTCCTGGGGAATACATTCCAACGGTATTCGACAATTACTCCGCGAATGTGATGGTTGACGGGAAGCCGATTAATCTCGGATTATGGGATACTGCAGGACAGGAAGATTATGACAGATTAAGACCATTGTCTTATCCACAAACTGACGTATTCTTGATTTGCTTCTCGCTGGTGAATCCAGCAAGTTTCGAAAACGTGCGCGCTAAATGGTATCCTGAAGTGCGTCATCATTGTCCTGCTACTCCAATCATTTTGGTGGGCACTAAATTAGATCTACGCGAGGACAAAGAGACCATTGAGCGTTTGAAAGACAAGAAACTGGCTCCTATTACTTACCCTTCGGTTTGTTCTACAGCTTTGCTTCTATTATATAATGATAGAAAAATTTAATACAACAATAAGAATTAATAGTATTTTTTTATTGACATAGTAAATAATTTGTTAAATTAAATCATAAATGTAATAATGGTTGAATGAATAACAGTTTTAATATGTAACAACTTGTTATGAATGTTATATATTTATATATTTTATAATTATTAATGTATTATTGTTATATATATAATATATTCTAAAATATTTGTTATAGGGTTTGTCAATGGCAAAGGAGATTGGTGCTGTAAAATATTTGGAATGCTCTGCTCTGACGCAAAAAGGCTTGAAGACAGTGTTCGACGAGGCGATACGCGCCGTACTGTGCCCCGTTCTGCAAGTGAAGCCAAAACGCAGATGTTTCCTTCTATAATATTAAATGTATCCCTCTTTGCACGTTGGTACTGGAATGTGTTAGTGTCTCATTGTCTCATCTCCAGTGTACCAAGCTCGAATAGAGAATCAATCGGACGAGTTACCGATATTTGGAACCCCAGTTGTACCAGCCTACGTCAGCATCAACAGGCTGCAAACATCTGCCAGCATAAGCGCACAAACATCAATTCCGTGTAAATTTCCAACGAGCGAGACAAAAGAGGGTTCACACAAAATCATAAATTTTGAAATACAAATTCACTTTTATGTGGCCTCCAGCATCCTGAAGGAAATCAATTAAGGAGGTTTTGTGCTGTCTACGCGAACAAAGCTTCCAGTCTAGACAGTCTGATAATATAATAGGGCTATAAATGCAAATCGACTGGATGTTCTAAGCGAAAGGAGTGTAAAAGAAGCCAAAATAACTGAACTAACCGCTGTACAGTATACTAGAGAAAGTACGTTATTAATATTATAATTAATAACTATATATGAATGGTAAAAGAAAAAAAGCAAATATTACCATATAATTGTGTAAGCGTCCAAACACTGACTGTATACTGATCAGTTTAATCAAAGAGGAAAACCATTTTATGCTATTTGCCATTGTACATTTTAGGTAGAACAGAATATATAGTTAACGCATTTAAAAAGGGTAGAAAAAAAGAAAAAAATATAATAGTTTTCCTTATCGTGGAAAGATTTCAATATGCATCAAGATATAAATTGAAAGGAGAGAAAGAGAGAGAGAGAGAAAGAGAATATTTTTTAGAGATACACATAGTACGTGGCAAACTTGTTTGGACGATATTCATCTAGATGTTCATTATAAATGTGAATAACAGTAAGTACACACACGTACACTTCTCCCTGTACTTAGAGCAACTATACGCATTTCTTTTGATTCAGGATATTAATGCAATATGTTAGCAAAAGCTTTAACAGAGCTTTCACGAAGTTGTTTTCACAAAGAGGATTCTTTCTCTGATAAAGACACATCCATTGAGTTCGTTCACATATAAACGTTCTAGATTTATTTGAGAAATTGTATATAAAATCTAATTGAAGGCATTTAGACGTCAATCAAATGCTGTTCAATGTTTAGTGTCCGTGTCCGATATTTAATTGTGTTATGCAATAATTTCTCTTGGAGACGAGAGTTTGCGATAATTTGAAAATGATAATTAGTCAACAGAGGCCGATAGAAAGGAAATAAAAAAAAAGATAAATCTGATAGTTGTATTTTCCAACCAGGATTGGTAGCGCAGCGGCCGCATAATATGGCTTCCTTCTTCCACTAAATTGGTTAACATTACCGTATAAACGTTACATACCATAATTTAAGCGATAGCTAACTGTACAAGAGTTCTAGATGTATGTGATATAAGTATAAATGTCAAATCGTGTTTAACGATTCCTCTGCTTCGCTCGCGGATAGCACGACAAGATCTGTGATTAATACGCACAATGCATCACGTTATTTCTCACAGGAAGTACAGTGTCATCAGATTGGAATTAAAAAGGGTATTCCCGCATTTAATAAAAGAAAAAAAAGGAACAGGATATGACTACTGAAGCAGGGGAAGCGTGAATGTATGCATGTGTGTAAACGAGTAAGTGTTATCAGTGCGAAAGAGACGGAGAGGAAGAATATGAAAAATGCGAGCATGTAGCTATTATAACGAGAGAGAATATGCTATAGCATAACAAGTGTACATAAATGCTGAACTTCAAATGTATTCCTACTTATTACCACATATAATTTACGATTTCACGTGTGTATGCGTACATTATAAGTGGTAATACGAGTTATATACATATATACATATATATATATACATAAGTCGCTGATCGAATCTAAATCGAACGTTACTTGTTTTTTATATATATATTATAAATATATATAAAACGGTCGGGGGGGGAGCTGGACCAAGACCTAACTACTCAATCATCGCAGATCCATTAAATCTCTGTGCAATCTGTTTGAAAAAAAAATGAAGATTCGGTCCACGGGAAAGAATCAGAAAACTATTGTAACTGAATATGCTTTATTAAATGGGTGTTTATTAAATACTTTGCTAATTCCTTGGAGAAACAATCATCGGGGGTGCAACATTTTGTACATTATTACGCGGCGGTGTCGAAGAACGTCTTGATCAGCGCCGATATCTGGTCGGGCGTGTACTTGATGTATTTCGATGGGTTCTTCGAGAACGACACGCCGCGATACTTGTTGTGGAACGCGGTGTACAACGGAACAATTGTCTCGTGCAGTTCCTTCCTTAACTCCTCGCGCAAACGTCTATCAGGTACCGAGTAAGAACGTTGACACTTGGCCACTTCCTCGAGTTCTTTCGTGAAACCCAAGAACTTTTCCTTCAACGTTTTAGCGGCAAGATCTACGCAAATTAAAAACGCATAATTAATGTGACTAATGATTATAGTTTAGGTCCGCTAATTGTTGAACACTTTTATCATTGTTTCAGAACGTAGACTAACAATACATGATATGAATATGAGCTGAACACGTATGTCTGCTGTTTCTTTCTGTGACACATTACTAAGAAGATATTTAGAATCTTATTTATAATATTGTTGAGAGTTTTATGTTAAAGCGCAAACCTGGTTCGTCTGCGGATTGCTCGAGGTACGATCGCGCCTTGGCGAATGTCGTAGTGACGTAATTGTTTCTGTCTTTCAGAAGTAGATCGTGATACGTTTGCTCCGCGCTCGGCTCGGCCAGCAAAAGTAGCTCCATAAGGGAACTTCGGCGGAGAGCATTGACCACGTAATTGTGGTTGTTTAGCCGGAACAAAGCACGTAAAGCGAGATCGGAGTAAGACGCGTCGCTTTTATTCACCAACGCTAGATTCAACTGAGCGAGAACCTTCTCTGTAAGAAAGCAAAGCAGTTTTTATTAAGTTAATAATACTGTTTTTATTTTAATCATTTTAAATTAAGTTATAGAAAAATAAATGATGAGATGGGCCACACACTTACTGACATATACGCCGAGAACCATTCTATGTCCTTTTTCTGCATTTTTTGCGGACGACACAGTTTGATCTATATCGGTGTTGCGTCGTAGAACAGCACCGGCCGTGTCTGCGTATTCAGCCAACTGTTCTAGAAAAACTAAGACATTGCTAGTCCCCTCCGCTACGGTGCCGTCTTTTGGCAAAGCCGTGCTAGATTCATTTCTCACGCTTTCCGCAAAATCTTCCAAAGCTTTAGCACCCTACAAAATTAAAATGGTTCGTTTCATTATATTTGTTATTATATATTAATGTATACATATGTATACATTGCTATATTAGTATTGAAAGTATTTTTTTAAAAGTTTAGTTAGTAAGTATATTTACGCATTACGCATTTTAATAAAAAGTATAAGTAAATAAAAATACTCAGTATAAAAAAAGCTTTATATCAACCGGGAAATACCACGTTTTTCCTTCAGAGTAATAATTCAAACATGCCCGCTGATAAAGCGCATTATCAGCGCACTTCCCGTAGAATACTGATTAAGTATCAGTTTTCAGGAATTCTTCCTTTTATACCAAAGAAGTTAATTTAAAATTAACACACACTAATATAAAGCAAAATTTTCAGGTCTCGCACAGAAATCTAAACTTAAGGATAAAAGCGTTCAAACTTACAGTTGCATTTAACGTGTCAAGCACAGAGGCAAATTTTGAGCGAAGTGCGTAATCGCAACCCTCGACTGTTCTCTCAAGATCGGGCTTCAATTCGCCGAGATGCTTTAGAATCGGGAAGACCACGAGAACGGCGGAAAAGTCGCGTTTTGTGATGCACCGTTTGGCACGCGTAGCTATGCTGTCTCCATCGTGAGCCACTAAGTCCATCGCGTCACGAACGGTAGCTTCCAGCACCTGCGCTTGTAAGGATGCCGGCAAGATCTTCGCGACTAGCGTTCGCTCGGCTTGCATGAGTTTGTGCAGACCGACCGCTAACAGAAGATAATTCTCCATCTCCTGCTCGTCAGGCGCCGCGTCCTCCATGGAATACGGCGAGAGCTGCGGCGTCGGCTTCCTGGACGCCGTCAGGGACAGGTTTAAGCCCGTTGTTTGCGACGCTTTCAACAGCATTCTGTTGGCCTTCTTCTCCAATGCGTGCTGCAACCGTCGCGACGCTTTGCGCCCTGCGTTCTCCTGACCACCCAAAGAGTGCCGATTAGCGAATTTCGCTCTCTGCGAATTATATTTACATTAAAACAATAAATTTCCGAAGAACTAGATATTTCTATGTATATATTGTTCATTTACAGGCATTGGACTTCCAGCGTGTGTACTGCCGCCACTGGCGCTCCTCTGATGTTCTCTGAGCAACTGCAAGGACCTCAAGACGATGGCGGAACGCACAGAGGCATATATTTTTATGTGTTTACGGTGGCCTCTTTCCTCCAGCCATCCGGAAATTTTGAGCAAATCGCTCATAACGCTTTCCGGCAATTGACATAGAGACTGCGGTGCATCTTCACCGCTGGTATCTTCATCGGAGCCAATTAAATCCAAGAGTAAAATAGGAAGGATCGGTTTACTTTGGCGAGTAAGAATATCATGAAATTCAGCATAAAGTGATTCTAGGCCGATCGAGAAGAGACTTGTGACATTTTCTAACTCGACAGAGCTAGGATTATTTTTTTGGAAGTATCGCTGAGCATTGTACAGACGGTTCATAGCCTCGAGAAAACCATCTAAACCACCAGGCCCACTTGGTTCAGCCCGCACCGCATCTTCCACTTCTTGACATACACCATAGTATCCGATAGCGTGATCCAGTATACTTAAGGTCTTTTCTATATCTATAAATATAAAGCAGGCAAATGTGAAAAAATTTCTAATGAAGTAACTTGTCAATTTTAGAATTTTACTTCAAAACAAATAATATTAAATATACATACTGTGTTGCTGAGCTTGGAGATTCCCTGTCTCATTATAAACAGGGAGTATTGTACGTCGCAGCGTAGCCAAACGATCTTCCAAGGAGGAAAGAATTCCCACTACTCCACTTGTCAAACGTCGGCTACGTTCCTCCGCCTCCTTCAAGGCTTCTAGAGCAGCAATCTCTGACTCCAATTTACATTGTATTTCAAATCGTCTTTCAGAAGTGTCAGCCCGTGTCGCGTGCATGTTTTCTTCATTCGTTCTTGCATATATAATTATAAATAAAGGTAACTAATAAGCAATGATGAAGTAAGTGCTTATTAAGTGATAATGAGTGACTTCAATAACATCTTTGGTAATTCAGTACTTATTTCAGGAATCCAGTTAATCTCAATCAAACTCAAAATCTCACAACTGTCTGTAACATATTGGGTGACGAAAAAGATAAATTATATTTTGCATTTCTGTCAAATTGTTACTTTTACTTCCGGCTGAGAGCAATCATTCTCCCTTTTTGGGTGGAATCAGATGGAATCCGCGTGCGACGCCTAACGTAGACATGGAACTACGTAGCCATTTCCACTTTCCGGTGGGTAACATGTTAGATTCATGATTTTGGTTTCGGTCCATTTATCAACCAAGTGTCAATAATATAAATAAGTGGTGCCATCTGCGTAATTTTTACATACTTTATTCGTGCATTCATACAGATCAGAGAAAAATATTTATATTCCCGGCGAAAATAATTATATACGATTACTACGTGCACATTACAATTAAGGTAATAGCCATGACGATGTTACTTAATTAGCTTTAATTAGTATCTCTATTTTTTTTTATATAAGAGAAAAATAAGAGGAATCCAACAAAAAATTGCAACTGTTATTCTTACTGGAACATTGAGGAAAAATGTATTTCTAATTCGAGTTTCATCCGTTTCAGACGTTGCGGAATAATATTTCATTATTCTTAATTTATTCAGGAAAAATTTAAGATGCAAAGGCAACAGCCCTGGAGCAAGCTCGAACGCGCCAATTTATGTTAGAGAAGCGATGATAACCCGTGGCGAGGACGGCCGGGAACGATCATACGAGGCCGTAGTAGGGGAACGGCGTGGCCAACGCCATCTGACGTACAGTCGGCAGTCGCAGCAGTGAGCGCGCAGGAGGTGGTCCGTTCGCCATATTTGTTGTTGTCGTCGATGGGGTAGGCTAGCCTGAAGTTTTTCCGACTGGCTGGCACTATCGGCTAACTCGTGCGGCGATCTTGCGACGTGCGCGAAGTTAACGCGAGCGTGCGGACTCGCGGTCGCGACCGGGCGCGAGCGAATCACCGCGCGGGGATTCAGGCTCACACAGTGCGTGGCAATGTCTCCGACATAACAGAGAAACATCGATGAGACACTTGACGGCTCAGCTGTCTTATTCCGTACCCGAGTGCGTCGCCGTGTTTGTACATGTTCATGCATCACTGTTCGCTCCGTGCTACGCTAGTTACGTGCAGTCCGCTCGATGGTGCTCGTGGTCGAGGATGCACCAATAAGCGGCGTGTGAGGGTGTGAGGTGCACCGTTGGTTGACGGACATCGGACAGATTCGTACGGGGCTGAAAGGTAAGCAAAGGAAGAAGGGTTGGAGGTACGGCCGTGCGCGAGCGCATTATGCGTGTGATTATATATACATATATACAGTAAAAGCGCGCGCGCGCGCGCGCACGCTTGCATCCGCGCGTTCCTACAAATACACATTCGTGCGGGAAGCGAGCCTTGCGGCCTCCTAGGCGTAAAGAAAGAGAGGAGGGTGGGAGGGGGGGCTGCGCTCCCTTGCGCGGGGTCGGGGTCGTTGCACGTTCTTGACGCGACCAGGTCTGTTGACCTGCCAAGGTCCTTGCGCCTCATCGCTTCGTCGCGTCATCGACATAACGCGATCTCTCTTTCTCTCACTCGAATCGTGAACGTCGGTGCCGCGTCACTTTAACCTAACGTTTCGTCGCTTGACATATCGACGCGCTCGTTTGATACAGCGCGCGTCATCGTTCCGCGTTTTTCTCTCGCCGCAACTCGCACAAGGGACGAGTATTCGGCGCGAAACGAGGGGCTCGCGTCGTGGGCGAGAGATCAATACGTATCTATGAGGTAACGTGAATCAGCTGTTCCTGTTTTACTTTTGCTCGGGCCGCGAGACGCGTTTCGCAAGAAAACGTCGCGCGGCGTGCGTTTATCGTGCGCGCGCGCACACTCGCGACAATGAGCGATCGAGTGCTTCACGTTCGCGGAAGACTTGTTGATTTCAATTTTTTGGTCATGTATTTCGTATATTGAAAATATAACGGATCAGCTTCACCTTGATGTCGCTACAGAAAATAAACTGGCCAATCGTAAGTACTCTTCGCGATTGAAAATTATTCTACTTTTGAATTCTCAAGAATATAAATTTTCAATCACATGTTTTCATTAAATATTGCTTTATTTTATTTTGTATTCGATTTGTATCGAAATGTTTGGCATCATGAATGCCTCAAAAATTTTTGTCATATTATCTGAGCCATGCGTATCGTGTTAATATTCATGCATCATGAGTCAGAATTGTGTTTGAGTTTGGTATTTGTGAGCAGTCGACACATATAAAGAGTTAAAAGGTTTGGTTAGGTTAAATTAAAAAATACATAGTTCAATAAGTAAATTAATCATAACCTTAAAATAGAATATTTATTTAAGACAACAATCATGAAGCATGAATATTTAGACATGACGCGCGCATCTTGGATTTTCCTTAAATTGATGCAACTTTACTTGCATTCATAATGCCGTATTTCCATTGTATCATTGAAAATCGTTACATATTTATAATATGCAAATGACATCGATTTTCCTCTCTCAGTCTTCATTTTGTTTATGACTTATGGGAAATTTATGGGGAAAATGTTGCTAATTCATTTCAAATAATATCGCAACGTTTCCCAAACTGATTTAATAATATTAAAGAACATTTTCACTTATAACATTGGCTAGCATTACACATCCCTTTCTCGTGTAAGAAATCAGTTGGCAATATTGTCTACGAAAAGTAACAGTCGGCTCGCGAGAAAATTCGAAAAAGACGTCGAATGTTCTTTCGGACGATCTTGGCGTGCAGTTTGGGAGACGTTGCGCGCGCGAGCGTTCGAACATCAAAGTATCGGACGGTTCATCGAAGCTAAGGGTGAGATGATCGAAACACGGCCGTTTCTCGAATCCGCAGATCTTCCGCTGGTGCACGGTGGTGGAGTCTGCGCCGCTACGCGATCGTGCGGGCGAGACGACGCGGCGTGGCAGAGACGGTGGCAGCCGGTGATCGTTTTGGACGCGCTCGTAGTATTGCGTGTGCTGATTCGCACGGCAATTAAAACTGGCGGGCAACCTGGCTCGGTCCTCTGGCAGCGGCGGCGGAGGCGGCGGCGGAGGGCGAACCGGTAGGATCGGCGGAAGTAGTAGTGGCGGCGGCAACGGTGGCGGCAATAACAGCGGCAGCGGTGGCGGCGGCGGCGGCGGCGGCAGCGGCGGCGGCGGCGGCGGCGGCGGAGGCGCGAATTCTAGGGGTGCGAGGGCGACCGGGGCCGCCGCCGAACCTGGTATCGCCCCGGACGAGGCCCCTGGACCCGGCGGACACTTAATCGAATGGGAAGAAACTGATCGTTACTCCTTCGATGATTCTGATCGCTTCGAAGAAGATTCTCTGTGTAGCTTCAGCAGCGAGCCGGAGTCACTATGCAACAATTGGCGTGGATGGAGACGACCACCGGCTGCGTTCGGCATCTCCAAGAAATCCTGCGAGGGTGAGTGATGATTTTTATTTTGCATCTGACCGTTTAATTGCCGAATCGCTTTTCGACGTAAAAATAAGTTCTTAATTTTTATTAATATATTCTCTTGTGGCTAATTAAAGTAATTTTATGTTGCAATTTCAACGATTAAAAATTTATTTTTACTTATCGGCACATCTGTATTATAATTAATGTAATTATTATCATTATATTATTTTAATGTTAGAAAAATTTAATATATGTATCTTTTTAACAGATGTAGCAATGATACGCTTGATGAAATACTTTAATGAAGATACATTAAATTTACGCCGAGAGTGATATTTTCAAATGTTGGCAATTGAACGGTCAAGGAAAAAAACCATGTTTGAATTTATTTCTTCTCTACAAATTATGTTGTTCGTTACCTGTATACATTACGGTTTACTGTAATCGCTTGATACACGGTTACACACGAGCGTTCAAGACGCGTGAAATGCAATTAATTTATTTGCTGGCGAGTGGTTCACATAAATATCGTGGCCAAGCGCATGTACGAACTCGTGTTTATACACGATAAAAATTTATATTTTTTACTTTAATTTACGCGTGTCCGCGTAAATATTCAGTAAAAAATAACATGATACAATCTACGGTTTGGTCGTCAAACTGCGAATTCCCGAGACCTGTCGCTTCGAAATAGCAAAAACTCTTTTTAAAGGATTAATCTAGCAAAGAGGTTCTTTCTCTGTACCTTTCTAATATCCCTGCTGGGTATCACCAAACATTACGAGCAGATCCATCAGAATCATTCAGCAGAGCCATCGGCTCTTCCGTCAGACTTTCCATTCGAGATAAACATTCGGGAACGATTCGAACGACTAGTCGATTCGACCTATTTTATACATATGCATACATACGTCTATCGATGGCATCGACGAGATTGATACAACACTCATCGAGAATTTTATTTGTGCAATAGTTTTCTCTTCACAAAAGTCCTTTGTTTATAATAACGATAGAGACAAGATATTAAAAACAATAATAATTAATCATAAATAACGTAACATACTTTCTTAATGATAAATGTTCAAGTTATAACAGATATTTATTTATAATACTCCTCATTGATGCCGTCGGTATTTTCACACGTGTGCTTGCACATATGCGGTAGGCCTGAAACGCTCTATATGCTGCTATGTACAACAAACAGAAAAGGAAGGATAGATTTCATCTCGTCTCCTGCCCTCGCAGCCGCGATTGACTTCTGTTTTTCTCCTTTTCTCCGCGGTCCTTGCTCCATGCTGGAGCGATCAAGGCCGAGAATAAGATCAAATCGAAACGAGAGAGTGCGAAGGGGAGAGAGAGAGAGAGAGAGAGAGAAAGAGAGAGAAAGAGAGTAAACGAAAGCTATTATTCGCTCTCGTTCGAGCGCGCAGCCACTCGGGCTCCGCTCCGAGATTTCGTGCACGTTGCGAGTCGCATTGACGGAAATGTAATCCTGACGAATGCGAATGTGTCCGGTGAATGTCCTCGAGGATCAGCTTGGAATCGGATTTAAGTATCAGACCGTTTTGTCCCGACAAGATCTGAATAATTCTTGATTTAGTGGTGCAGAATTTCGTGGATTTTTCGTCACACTGTCATTATCGTGCGTCGTTCCGGTTTGCTTACGAACGAATCGATGCAATAAGAACGCATTACAGTGAAAGTATATCCGACTCCACTTTCTCGTCGCATGATAGAAAGCGAGCGCACTTGCATTTTCGTACTTTTCTTCGCGATTTATTATTTCCGGTAATTTATCGTAACGTATACAATTTTTTTGTATCGTACGCGATGCCCGCTTGAAATATTTTATACACCCGCGGTACGGAGTTTTTAAATTTTACATAAAATAAAATCTGCATGAAATATTTTTTTTTTATTTATGAGACAAAAAGTAAAACATTGCATAAGGCAATTGCGAAAAGGAATACGTATTTCGACTTCATAATTTTTTTTCTATAGCAACGTATACGTCGATTTTTTTCATAGAAAGTGGAATTACTCGCGGCTATACAATCATGCAAATCGCTTGCACAGTTTGCAAACGGTTTTTGCAGAGTTTGTATGCGCGTCGAATGCATTAATGCAATTTTAACTTTCTCACACGAGCGTTCCATCCTCGTTGTTCCCGTTCACGTCGAGGATAAATGCAAATCTCCGCGGCTCTTTTCCACATTTCCCAGAGCTCCAAAATTGTCGAATGGCGGAAAGCGCGAGCTGCTTCCGCGTGTTCATGTCTCTTATTCCGCTGTAAAACTTTCTTTTGTAAGAGTTGCGTAGCAGAAGAGCGTATTTTGCAAAACGCTTTCAACGCTGACGACCGAAACTTTTCGTACAACAGCTGTTGTGCCTCCTTGTCCGTATTCAGCGGGAAAGCGTGGTCGTAGCTTCATTAAGAATTAAACAGGATTTCTGGAAAGTTTAATAAAGACAGAACGCGCGATATCGAGAACTTTCAAGGAACTTCCGTTCTTTGCCATTAAAGCGGCGACTTTCCGCAGGGGAGAGGAGCGCGACGTTTGCTCGTACAGATAAGGGGCTCTTCAAAAACTCTAAAACCTAAGTTAGTGATATTTACACGCGCACACACACCCTCGTTTATCTTAAATTCCGGTCTATTAAATATGATCACTTAATCGACTTAATTTTTCATTTCGCAAACATCGCAAATCACGTATTTTACTGTCTGTCTTTTAATCTGTATTGTAGTCGATGTGCGTAAATCCGCGACGGTATTGAATATATTCTTTTGACGATGTCAAGGATGAGTGTCTTGCAAACAAGATATTTGCCCTGCATCCTTTCGTAAATCTCGCTTCGTTAACGATTACAACGCTGCGAATTAAGTGGATTGACGTGGAACAACGATGCCGGGTGCGGATAATCCTCGGGCTCTCCTTCGGAATTTCGTGGGGCATAAATTCCCGGGAAGCGCATTTCCAGCTGCGAGACGTATGCATCACGCGCCCACGTATCCCTGCGCGTCTAGGTACATACATATATACGCATATACATATAAGTTGCACCTTCATGTAGGGCGGGTTACACATGCGGGCCGTTATATTCTATCTCTCATCCTGTTCAGCGTTCTCGCTGCTCCCTTCTTCTCTCTCTTTTTTTTTTACCGACGATATTTTCCGTTTGAACCGCGCGTTGGATAGACGACACGTTTGGTGGGTAACATTTTCACGCTGGATTTCACGGCGTCGCATCTTGCATCCGATAAATCTTCATTTGTCAATCTGTCTCGCGCCTTGTTTCTTCGCCTCGTAAAAGTATGCGCAACGAGATCTAATAAGCATCATAAAGGCAATGGTATCGTTTTTTTTTTATATTGAATTTTATATACGCGAGATAGAACAGCCAATGTTATTATGCTCGCCATTACGTGATGAGACTTTAACATTTCAACTGGAGTATCGATTTTAACGAGAAATTATGTCATTAATTTAAAAGCGTCGCGGATGTAATTAACGGATGTCGATATGAAAATAACCGGCAAAAATATACAATGTGCGGACGGCGAGAGGATTCATTTTTTTCATCGAGGAAAAAATAAAAACCCGCTGTTGTGCGGCGAAGCGAATAGATCCGCTCGTCTTAACGACTCTCGGACTTACGCGCGGTCGCAATGAACGCAAAGGCGGAGTCGATTGATCGCGTTGACGCGCGACGCCCTTTCACCCCGACGGGACTGTATCGTCATGCGACCCCGGTAATTAAATGCGCGACCGATAGCAAACCGTGGCCGTGGGTGCCACACTGTGTACGCGGACTCTGCCCTTTCAAGACGGCCGTAGCTATTCGTTTGCGGTGGGACGTAACACGTACCGTGCGGAGCGGTTTCATCGGCGAGGTGAGAATGCGAAGACGAAGTTTGCCGGCGAATCGAATTTGCGGCCGTCGTTAACGCCCATCTCGCCACACGATATAGCCTGGACTTTGAGGGTTGCGCGGGATCGTGACAGGCTCGCGACACATATGACTTTACTTGCAGATTTTTTTACGCGATTTAGAATTAATTTTTCCTCCATATTTTCGGAAATAATGAGATATAAATACTCCCTGAATTATAATTGAATGAAAAAAACTGCGAACTAAATTTCAAAGAATAAATAGCAAAATCATATTTTTCTTTCGATTATTTTTAAATGTGACGTCTTTGGTTTGAATGTTTGATCCTTGACTGAACGAGATTTAAAATAATATTAGAAATTAAACGAAGAAATATATTTATATATCTATTTTATGCATTAAAATATATATTTTTTTATAAGTCGCAAAACTTAAGTCGAGAAAATTAAAAAATTCTCCGGTTGAGAAACGTGTCATCTATTATTTCTTGACAAAACATTGACGTAATATTTCTCAAATTATTTAATTAAAGAGAAGCTACTTTTTCACGAACTATATATATATATTCGTTTAGGCGATTTGAATTATGCATTTTAGGGAAAGACAACGGGCGTACTCCCGTTACTTCCGCACGGCTGTTTTATCCGACTTTCCCAAGACTTTTGGACGACACGAGGAAATTGCGCCGCGAGGCGAATACGCGGAAACTTCCACCCTCTGTCGCGACTAAAATTTCTCCGCGAGCTCGTGACAGAACTCGCCGGTGAGCTCGTAACAATAGCTATTAAGTAGTTTGTTTGCATTGAGGAATTCGCTTCGAGCGCTTCATTCTCGTCCGACTTGACGAGCCCTTAAGGACTTTCAAGACGATCTTCGTAGCTGAGAGTAGCTTTGTTCCTTTGCATTACATTTCTGTGTAATGATATTCTAATTTCTTGCTGGAGGCGGTTATCGCGCTGAAACTCGCGGAGTGCGAGCTGACAGATATAAAAGAAGCGGCGACTGTTACATCGTAAAACAGTGCCGGCGGTAGTTAAATACATCTACAGAACGCATATCAGCGAAGCATTATACGGCATTCCCGGTGCCCAATGTATGAATCGGTATATTGCATCGCTTATTCGCGTACA